GGAAGTCGGTTTTGTTTTTTTATTAAAAAGTTTATTTATTTTTAGGTCTCAAGCCATTAGAAAAGAAGAAGAATTTAAATTTTTTAAAATTAGAACACATTGATAATGTCTTCATTTTTATTTCCAAATCTTTTACGATATACAAATGTTATTAGTAAAATGTGTAACTTAGTATAAGTCCGCAGTGTCAGTGGTCGCTGTGAGGCTCGCTTTGTGCTATAATTAACGTCTCCCGCTCGATATACACTTCGCTGCACAATTTTAATTGGATTGATTTTTACAACAGCTGCTGCTCACTCTGTCTACATTGTGCTCGGTTACACACTACTGCGCTATTTATATTCATGTTTTTATGCTTATTATTAAATAATCTTAGCTATTAGGGTTGCTGAAGTTTCAATTTCATCATCATCATCACCAGCTCATTATATGTCCCCACCGAGAGGCTCGGAGCCTACCGTAATACGGGGTGACTAGGCCATAGTCAACCACGCTGGCCAAGTGCGGGTTGACTTCACTCATATCTTTTAATTTCTTCGCCGATATGTGCATTCATCACGATGTTTTCCTTCACCGTAAGAACGTCGGGTAAATTATGTACATATGAAAATTCGAAAAATCGAAAATCACATTGGTACGGCGGGATTCGAACCCAAGACCTGTAGATTACAAGTCAAGTGTTCACTAAGTTACAAGTAAAACTGAAGTTATGTACTTCGGATACGCATTTTATTAAGTTATCGAAAACACTAACGAATGGTTAAATAGCTGGGAAACCGCCCATTAGATAATAAATTTTATTTTATTCTGATTTGGAGCTGTTTCTGTAACGTTTGTTTTAAGGCTGGGATTACTGAAACGAATTTTACGTCTGGTATCTATACTAAGCAGGGATTTGTAATTTTATGCATAAAGCCGTATACTGAAACGATATATGTGTCATTTTAAATGACAAAACCACGCTTTAAGTGCAAATTCCTATCAAAATTTGACGTCAATCATATTGTATGTCGCTTACAAAGCGAAGGAAGATTCGTTTCAGTATATGACCGAAAGCCAATGATTTTTTTTATGGTTAAAAGGTTTTGAATTTGCTAGTTTAGCAAAAGATGAAATAAAAAAAAACACACGTATTCATTGAATCATTTATTTTATAACAACCCTAAACCTTAGTAAAATATGGTAACCCTGTTAGATGTTAGAACTACAAGTGGGACTGAATCCAGGGGACGAAGTTGGTGACCCGAGCGAATCCCGCCGGTTGTCCACTTTCACAGCCACGAGTCGATACAAACGATGAGACGCCAATCTGAAATACAACAATAGAGTCCACTAAATACGAGTTACGGCAGTAAGCTAGTTGGTAAGATCGGGCGCACCACTTTGTCTAAACTATGTTGTGCCATTGTCGATTGTTTTCAAATTAAACTGTTTAGTCGCAAAACTAAAATCGAGTAGTATTCGCACCTCCATATAAGCATATGCAAAGCGAGACTAAAAAGTTGTGCGATAGTTTAGTCGAAGGTGTGCACGCTCTTTTAGTATAACTAGCTTTTGCCCGCGACTTCGACATAAAAAAGCTACGTAATCAGTGAGTCACATAGCCTATATTTTTTATTATTATTTAATGTGACGAGGGCGAAGTCGCGAACAACAGCTAGTATGATCATTTTTATCAATTTCAATATCTTACCAAGACGAGCTTCCCTTCGTGTGTGGTGACGAGAGGTCCCCCGGAGTCCCCGAAGCAAATACTCCTGCCGCCCGCACCGCTCGTGCAGAGCTTGGATACGTTGATATTTCCATATCTACGCCCGCACGACTCATTACTGATCACCTCCAGTGTTACATTGCTAAGGAACTGTTTGTTCGTCACACGACCACCTGTACAAACACAACAATATAATTTTCGTAAAATACAGGTAGCATAGCTGCAAGCGCCATGTTCTCGGGCTGGCTGATGTGATGTGGCAGGTGAAAATAAAGTTACAAGAAGCCAAATCGGTCTACTTTTCTCCTGATTTGCTAGCACTATTATTACTGTCCTTGTTTTCATACACTCTAAATTTATCTATACTATAATAATATAGCGTAAACACACACTTTTTTGTTGCCTGAGATGTCAGCAATTACAACATATTTTTGAGTAATTCTTTTTTTAATAAACAACCCTACTCTTACGTCATACTTTAGGTTATATATTTTCACACCATTAAATTTAGGGGGTAAATGTTTTGAATAAAAACCCTAATGTTGGAAAAAGACCATAAGCTGCTGCGATCATCAAGGAAGCAAAATTGCCATACTTTGTGGTTACGTCATTTTGACATTTGCAAATGAATTTGACAAATGTAATCAATAAAACAATTTTCATAATTTCATGCGAATGAAGTCGCACGGGAACAGCTAGATGTTTTCTGTCAAACTACCCGTTATAAACCCATGTCTCATTATTATTATATTTGTAAAAACCACAAGAGTTTAAAATTATAAAATAATGATCTGTTTACAAAGCAACCATAATTTGAAAGTCTAAAGAAGTAAACTAGCAATAGCGAGATTTTTTCAACGAAGCAAACATGTAGCATGTACTGTTATATAACTTAAGTGACATGGTAAACACATAACCTAACTTAAGGTACTGACCGTCCTTGGTGACTCCAAATCCAATGGCCTGCGCGGCGCAACCCGCTAGATCCCTTTGCATTAGCGAGCCCCATGGCAATCTGATGGGAGACACGTTGGCTGCAAATAAACATTTTATCTCAACATTTTAATAGAACAAAAACATTTATAGCTTAAGAGGGGGCGCACATCTTTGACTAAAGCATCTTCATCATCTCCCCTAGCTTACCCCCTTAGTGTCGGCGCATTGGGTTTTCGTCCTCCTAG